ATCATTTTCTGAAACATATCTATAGTGTTAAATGAGGAATTACTGTATTTGCAAGGGGAATTTAGGCACCATTCTCACATAGTGGTGGACTCCTTCTATCAAAAATCCTATGGGGGAATTCTCCTGTTGAAGCTCTGAGGATATGTCTACACTGAAGAGGTTTTGCACAAAACCAGCCGTTTTTGTGAAAAAACTCACAGAGCATCCACACTACAAGCGCATTTTTGCGCAAGAAAATGTACAGTAAATCGTAAGAAGAGAGGGCTTTTTGAGCAAGAGTTATTCCTTTTTCTATAAGGAATAAGCCTTTTTGCTCAAGAGCTCTTATCTCTTTATCCTCTGAAGATAGGACAAGAAGCAATGAGCTTAAACTACAGTAAGGGAGGTTTATGTTGGACATTAGGAGCATTGGAATAAATTGCCTATGGCGATTAGACAAACAGTTGTCAGAGATAGTCTAGATGGTGCTTGGGCTGCCATGAATGCAGAGGACTGGACTTGATGACCTGTCAGGGTTCCTTCCAGTTCTATGATTCTATGATTCTAAAATCATTTCCTCCAACAGTAGCTTTACTGTACAACTTCAGTTTACATTTTGAAGGTTGTCTTTACAACAGAATTGGCAAGAAAGATTTTCTATTAAATAAAAGAATTAATGGAGTCTGGAATCCCCATTTAGTGAAAAAAACCCTCATGGTTGTGCATTAACACATTTTTGTAAAGATCATATCTGAGTATATTTACCCAAATGGAACACTACACCAGTCTGTAACTGGTCTTTCTTTGGGCCACTGATCCTGAGATCTATGAAACCAATGAGGAGTCCTGCGCCACCTTAGGGACTGCCACAGAACTCGGGTTTTTTCAGATACAGACTAACACAGCCATCTTTCTGTGACTGGAGATCTAGGACACCCAATCCAGGCCATCATACTGTTTAAGGATGCAAGAAGGAAGAGATTAAGGCTTCTGCACCACACCCAGTGCAAAGTCACAATCCACATGTTTTTATCTGGCATTCACTTGCTATTTACATATTCTCCTGAACCTGGAAATTATGACCATGAAGTCATGAAACCATAAATGGTCAGTAAAGGGTTGATTAATGCTGGTTGAAAAAAATATGAATGTTTTCCAATATTTTATTAAAAGAAAAAAATTTCATTTCTTCTGAAGAAAATTCATTCCTGATCAAAGGTTTTGAAACAAAATTTCACTGTGAAATTCACTTTCTTTTGGTAGGAAAAATTCCACTCTTCTATTTTTAAATTTACTCCCTCTTTTGCAGTGAGAGAGAGAGTAGGATTTTTCTAACAATTATTAAATATGAAATAGTCTGTTAACATTTTTCATTTTAAAATGTCGAAAAAATCCAAACGTTTGGATGAAAATGAAATTGTTATCAAAATCCTATTGTTTTTTGTTAAAAATTGTCACAACCAGGATTTGGGATAATCACCCAAGTAACTAGTGGCTATTTGGTGCTAATTCTAAATTATATTAAAACTTCATTGTTATTTAAAATTAAAAGCCACTGACGCTATACATGTTATGCCCCTCTAAATGGACTTGAAATTTTCTTTTTAATGTGTGTATGTGTGCTTTTGTTGCAATGAGTGTAACATGTGCCATGAATGATATTGCCATAACTTTATCTGAGATATACCATGAGTAATGAGATGGTGCGAGGAAAGTGAAATTAAATTTTCCCAACACTATAAGCAATTCTCAATAACATATAAAAAGGCATAAGTATAAAAAGACTCTACCAGCTAATGAATCAGTTTCCTTTAGCTGAAGTGACAGAGCATCTGCCAAGGAATCCAAAGACTCGGTTTCAGTCCCAAATATGCCTCTTCCTATATAACAATTAGGATCTTTACAGATCTGTGCAATAATCTTTGTCTGATATGTTTGTAAAAGAATTGCTGTTAAGAGATTAAGGCTAATGAAGAGAAGCACAGACAAATGACTTATCCTAGGCTTTCATATTGCTAGCGTCACCAGCAGTCTGCTAAGAAATGCCAATTGTAATTAAAACAAGTCATTGTCAAATACATTTCATAGCATACATAGAATGAGGAATGCTTTTCATTGTGTGAATTTTGACATCTCTCTGCTGAAAAGAATGAACACAGATTTCTTTCAGGACTTTTTTTTCTTGGTAGTTAGTCTGTAGCGACATTTTGGGATGTGTGCGTACATTAGAGCAGATTGTACTGGAAAAGCATAAAATGGAAGCCCGTTTTCTGTGGTAGCAATAACATATTGTGACAGACCCAGACCAGCCATCTGCCATTCACTGGTGGAGGGAATACATACTGGAGCTTGGGTAAACAGCTTTCTCTTCCCTGAGTAAAAAAAGGCCAAAGCTTAAGTCCAGCATAATCAGGCAGGTACCTGGGGTCAATTAGAGCTTGCTAGATGCCACAGGCTAATTAAACACCTGTAGCCAATTAAGGCCTGTAGTGCTGCTTTAAAAGGGCTCCCCCCAGAGTAGGAAGGGGGAAGGACAAGAATGAAGGACAGGAAGTAGGGAGTGCTGTGTGGAGAAGCTGTGTGGGTGTGAGCGGGGGACTGATGAGCAGGTCCCAAAGGAAAGGTGCTGGGAGGGAGTGTTTGGGGAAGTGGCCCAGGGAAAAGCTGCTAGAATTGAGAGTGGCAGTAACCCTGCCTGTTGCTGCTACCTTAGGGTCCCTAGACCAGAACCTGGAGTAGTGGGCGGGCCCAGGTTCCCCACAACATCTCAACCTCTGCCTTGAGAAGGGAGATCAGGACTCCAGAGGGGATTTTACCCCAAACTCATGAACTAGCGTGCGATGAGTATGGCTCAGTAGGCTGTGTCTCCTGCCTCTTGTGAAGAAAAAGAGGCCATGTGAAGAGCCACAGTGAGCCTCTGAGGCTAACACTATCCGCCAGTAGTGTGAGACCCACAGAGTTTTGCCACAATAGCTTCATCTTACTGAAGTTGTATATAAGATTGCTCTCGTAGCTATGCATTTTGAGAACATTAGGTGGAATTTATTTGGGAGACAAGGTTTCTGTGAGTGGCTTCAAGTTTATGGCATTTGGGTGGCAAGGCGTTTGAACTGTATTTGGTGTGGATGTAAACATTGCTTTAACTGGTGAGTTCCTTGATTTGTCATGCTTTTGTTTACAGTAAGTGCACTTAATTAACATTACCTTACATTCCTTAATCACTTTACATTAAGTAGCACAAACAACAATTTCAAAGTGACAATGGTGCAGCATTTACTCTCCTTTTGTAACACCTGGTATTTATTATGATTTCTGTACTGTTAACATGCACACACAACAAAACACATAACAAAACTTCTACTAATAAATTGTATGGTATGCAGGGGTTGATGCTGATATAAAATAGTATCTGTTTTCATTATTAGCATATGCCTTTGTGAATTTCTGTTAGATAAATCTTTAGGAATGCCTACCAAAGACTGGGAAATAAGTACAATCTGGAGTAACCACTCAAGAATTTCTTTCCTGTTGACAAACCAATATATATCTTTCACTCACATCCATGAAGGAATTTCAGTGCCTAAATCCCACTAGAATTAATGGAAATTAGGTGCCTAAATACCTTTGAGTATCTGTGCCTTTGTCCCCCAGGTAACTACAGTACCATGTTAAGCTCTGGAGATTGTGGCTACTGCACCACCTTATAGTATATTTGGCTGCCTGTACCAAAGCAATTTTGGTGTTTGGCTCAGGGCAGGGGAGGATAGGGAATATTAGCAACATTTTTGAAGAGGTTAACATGGCTTTTGAGTGAAGTCTCCAATAGCTTTTGTACTCTGAGAATAATTACTGTGGTTGTCAGAGCATTTGCATGGGGGAATGGAAAAGAATGAGGATCTTTGGACCTCCTTGGCTTGTGTACCTGTGCAGAACCTGGAAGAACCTGTGGTTTTTCAAGGTTAGATTCAGACTGACTGTGGTAATAAGCGTAAAATTCTGGCCCAGTTCAGCTCACCGACAAATTCCCATTGACTGTAGGGCCAGGATTTTGCCTTAGTTGTTTCAGATAGTTTGTTCTATTTTTGGCAAACAGTAAAAATTGTATACATTTAGACAAAGCATATCCCTTACCTTTTAGCAAAAATTTTTGAAAATTGCATCATCTAATCAGAACTTACTAATGAGGAAATTCCTCTCCAGTCTAACACATTTTCCCCTTGGACTTCATTTGGCAGTTACAGCAAATTTTTGACAGTCTCAAATGAATCATGGCTCACAATTTTATTTTTTAAAGACAGGATAGAACATATGCGGATTACAAATTTAAAGCACTAATTCTATCTATGAAGTAAGGTAGAAAATAATGGCCTGAAGGCCAAATGCCTGAACCAAAATGAATAACTGGAATGCAAAGTATTTCAGGTTACATATAAAGTTCTGACTGAAGAAAAGAATGAAGAAAATACATTACTTACAATTCTCCATTGCCTAGCTTTGTTTTACTTAATGCATGTTAGTGTTAATTTTATGTTTGCAATACTTCACATTATGTTCCATTAATTAATTTCAAAGTAACTAAGGTGCAATTTTTATACTCCTTTTGTACCTAATGATATTTTCAGTGACTTCAATACTTTTGCACGAAGAGCCTATATAATTATGAATTTTTTCTTAAGAAGCTGATTAATATTCAGATCTTTCTGGCGCAAAGGTGAATAGCTTGGGAGAGATCAGTGTCCTCTTTCGCTCAAGTCGCTGAGTCAAAATTCCTGAAAATTATGCCCTCATAAAACAGCATAATTGTGACATTAGAAACCTCCAGAAAGATCATAGAAGAAAAAGTTTGAAAAGCACAGTAATAATTGTATTTGGCTTAATATAAATAGAATAATTTTTAGGGAAAGTTGTATTTTTCAAAGCCAACACCAACATGTGAATAGGGAATGCTTTCAGTAAGCAGTGTCTATGAGCATTCTTACTCATTTCAGCAGAGTATATTAGAATATCTGTAAAATATTTACCTGACTAGTGTGGCTCTCCCTATGCCTTTGATTTGATGAGCTTGCTGCAGTGCTGGCTGAGAATCTTGAATATTCATTTTCTTCTGGTACACCTAAAGCAGAATAATACTAACTTATAGCCTGACATTTGTACAGTGCCTGACTTTCAGCCAGAGATTGAAAATGCTTGACACTTTTTACTGAGTATAAAACTCATAAATGTGATGACATATTACTATACCTAGGCTTGCTGAAATTTTCCAAGAGATAAATTATTGTTATTATTTATCAGCTACAAACAATGCTGTTGGCGTATGTGTCATTTTACGAGAGAACACTGATGCTGGAAGACTTTATAATATAGATTATGATGCCTTTATACCAGCCAGGGATTTTCCCCTATATCAGGGGAATCTTGGTTTCTCTCTTAGAACAATTTTCCATCCTTTGTACCACTGTGACAGTGAAAATGGACAGAGCAGAGGGCCAAGACCTGGCTCTAAATGAATTTTCTAAGATCATGTAGGAAATCCATGGAAAAGCTGGACATTACACCTTTATCTCCTAGTACCAATCTAGTATCTTCATCATAAGAACGTCCTTTCCTTCACAATCAAGTGTTAAATTTCTTTGTTTACTGCACTCTTTGCAATTTTTTGCATATTGCCTATAAAAGGCATGAAATCTTTAGCAACATAATCAGAGTTCCAAAATTTAATAAACAATATACTAAAATGAGCACTTGTACTGCATTATGGGCTGGATCCAACTGCTTGCTTAATTTCTCTGAGGCAGCGGCATGTCTCTGTACCAGGGCTAAAAGCCCTGAGCCTTGGTTCCCCCCACTGGGCTAGAGCTGCGAGTGCTGGCTCGTGGTGAAAAGGGAAGTTCTATATGATGTCCTCACCTCCAGGTGCTGTTCCCATAGGCGAGTGCAGTGTGCAAAGGCACCTTCCCCTTTGTCCCTGGGACCATGAGGATGTGCTGGCCATGTCAGGGAGTGTGTGGGGGCCATGGCAGACAGAAAACATGCCTTAGTCCTGCTGTGCCAATGACTTGAGGTAAGTGTCCTGCACCCCAACCCTCTGCTCCAGTCCAGAGACCCCTCCCACAGTCTAACTCCCTCCCATATCCACACAGCCTAGAGCCCCCTCTTCCGTTCTGGAACCTTCATCCCCTGCCCTACTCCACTGCTCAGATCCCCTTCCACATCCCAATCCTCTGCTCCAGCCCTGAGCCCTCGGCATCCAAACTCCCTTCCAGAGCCCACATCTGCACCCTGAACTCTCTGACCCAGGTCAGAACCCCCTCCTGCACCATAACCCCTTCTCAGACCCCATGTCCCTCTGCCCGTGCCCTGAGCCCACTCCAGCACTCTAACTCCCTCCCAGATACTAGTCTCCCATCCTTACCCTAACCCCCTGACCTGAGCCCACTCCTGCACTCCTGAGCCCAGCATCTCCCCAGAGCCCACACTCCCAAATAGAGCCCTCACTGCATTCTGTACCCCAAATCTCTGTCTCAGCATAGAGCCCCCTCCCACATCCTGAACCCCTCATTTTTGCCCCCTGTACCAGAGCCTAGGAGAAGCCCCTTCTCCATTGGGCTGTGTGTGACCCGTGACTGATTTTTTTAGGGGGCAGAAGGTAGGAGAAGGAGATAGGAGAAGATTCCACACCCCTGCTTTATACTGATCTCACTACAGTTATAAACTAGATGCCTGTTCAGTGATATAATGGGAGTTATTCTTGCTTTATCTCAATGCATGTGATTAAAGAATCATCCACATTCTTCTAACGTAGAATGCTATTTTAAGTGGGCACTGTAAGAACTAATGTGAAGTACTTGTGTGATTCAAGATCATAAAATTGAACTAAAATATTTTCTTAGCCACTAATGGTTTTTAAAAAAGAATACTGTAGTATATCCTTCCACATCAGGACACTGTTAATGGATAGCCTTGATCTAAGCCCCAGGCATCAGTGATTCATCTGTTTATTTCTATGTAAGGTACTTAGATTAGATGTCTTATCAAATAAGTACAGTTTCCATGTACACCGAAGTTCAAAGAAGTACGTCAGCGTGGACATGGAAAGCAGAGAGCTGGTGGAGTTTGGAAAGATAAATGGAGTTGTAGATTACATGCCGAAAGGTTTCCTTTACATACACTTGGGTAAATATTAGGACACCACAGCTGTGCACTGAATAATAACCACATAATTCAGCACGAAGTTGGAAACATCAGTTAGCAGGGGCACAACCATTAGAGCAAAAGTTGTTGGAACTAGAAGCTCGGGTTTGAGCACAAATCATGGTCTCTGGGTCAGGTTTAATAGAGGAGCTTCTGGTTTAACCCAAATCGACACCAGCTTGACAGTTTAATAGAGGAGCTTCTGGTTTAACCCAAATCAACACGAGCTTGACAGTCATCCAGCTTTGTTTTCTTCCAAATACTTTGAGAGGCAGTAAAATAAAAAATATGAAAGTCAGAAGTATAACCTATACAGATTATCTCCTATATTACCTTGCCTGGTTTTTATTCTTTTTCTCTCAAAAAAGCCTTCTTCTATGCCAGTGTTTTTCAACCAGGAGAAAGCAGAGGGTGCATTAAACTTGTAGGGTAGTGCACCAAGCCTTCTCATTCACTCATGAGCTCACAATGCCACTGATTAAAATTTGACCCAGCCACCTCTCCTTCTTGATGGAAAGGGCTGTGGGCCAAATTTCAGTGACTGGTGTTCCAAGCTGGTATGCATGGTTGCAATGTTCATCAGCTCATGAAATTGAGTAATACTGCCCTGAAGACACTGGGGATATTAAAGTATGTGCTTTTTAAAAGTTTCTTAGCCTATTCACAGTTAGGCAGCAGGATCAAAGGAGTGAAGTTATTGGAATCAATATATTAGTGGCCCCTCTTCATCTGGATTGCATTGGGAAGTCCTATTTAGGGAATGGTGGTTCCAAAGCAAAAACAACAAACAACAACAACAAAAACTAACCAAAAGTTAGGGGAAAGTGTGAGTAAAAAAAAAAAAAGGTAAAGACTCTCTGTCATGTAGCCTTGTCACATGGCCACGTGCAATGCTTTGTCTTCACCAGAAAGGGTTTTCTCCTACAGCAATATTGGTAAATACTGCTAGTAGAAATGTAGCTCATAGCCACAAATGTGCTTTTGCTGTTACAGATTATAGCAGATCCCTCCATAAAATAAGCTATGCTGGCAAAAGGACGTCTTTGATCCTATAACCAGGTTTACAGTAAGACTTTTGTTAGCATACTTATGTGGGGTTTTCATTCTCTGAATCACACAGTTATGTTGGCAAATTCTTTAAGTGTAGATCAGGACTAAATAAGCAACTTCTGAAACTGCCACTGAATCCAGTTGGAAAGTAATACTTGAAATGCCAAGCTATTATTTAGCTTAGCTTATGTCTTCGCTGCAGAGTTAACTCGAGTTATGTACACTTGAACTAACTTCTCTCAAACTAGCTAGCTCAGGAGTGGCCACACTACAAAATAACACTTCAAACTGCCAGCGACAGAAGTGCAGAGCAGTTGTGTCAGCAGTTGATGAATTGTGCTAATTTGAATGTTAGCTTATGCTGCCGGATGAACCAGCCAGCTTGAATTAATAACACCACTGCACTTGAGTGAATGTGTTTTGTGTGTGGATAGGACCTGAGCTGGGGGAAACATTTGTGTTATAACTCAAGTAACCTCTGCAGCGATTACAAGCCATTACATGGGCCTCTTCCTAGAGACACGGGTAGTGCAGGCTACAAGAGTTTGTGGATTTGTCTCCTGAGTTCACAAAAAAGACCTGCATGTCCCACCCAGCGTAGTGAGTGTAAGAAAAATGATTAACGACAACCACTATAAAATAATTTGTTTTTCTGAGCTCTCTTCCACCACATTTTAATTAATATTTGGAAGGGATAAAAAGTAAATCTCCATACATTGGAATTTACCAAGATCATGGCTATATTAGCCCACTCTTCAGTACTTGAGTGCTTTCTTCCATCAACTCTGCTTTTTTATTGTTACAGCCTAGCACCTTTCAGCTGTAGGCCATAAAGTGCTAGATGAAATTTCTGCTTATTGTCCATGTGTTGATAAATACTTATGTGGTTCTTTCTGCTAAACTAAGGATTATGGTAGGTCTGGAGGGTTTGTGCTTTGGGGAATACCACCGTGCTGTTACGGTGCTCTGCTGTTCAAGGTTGTTACTGCAAAAACTGAAGGAAGACAAATGAAGGAGGAGGAAGATTACAATATATAAAAATGAAAAACTTCCATGAAAATTCCATACTAATTAAACTTAGCTTCTGAATTTGATACAGCATTTGTCTATTAGGTGATTGTGCCAGACAACTTTTTAGCTGCTTAGTAATGGTTTTAAAAATAATTCATCAGATTCTTTCATAAGTATGATTAAAGTCTTGGTCAAAATGATTGTTCTTTTGAATATACTAATTTTAAATTTATTTTATTGGTACATACTTCAGAGGAGTGTTACAGTCACTTCACTCTTCATGACAGGAAAGGACAAGATTTTATGTAAAAATTGCTTCAGTATTTGCTTAAATAAGAAATCTATGAATCTGGATTTCTACTTTTTACTATGGAAACCAGACTGCTGTACATCTTAGCACTTGGTAGTTTTATAAATTAAATATCATATAATTAATAGAGCATGTCATGCCTCATATCCCAGAAAGTTAGCAGAGTTTGGTAACCATTACAAGAAAAGAGTAAATCCATATTTTTATATGGGATACATTTTATGCTCATACTCTCATATTTCATTGTTCTCTAATGATACCAAAGAAAAAACAGACTTAAAACAGTCAAAAAACTAAGCTGTCATAACTGACGCAGTTTTCTGCTTTTTTAAAATTAGATCATCTTTGGAATCAGAGATTCATTCAATTGTCCTTGCAAAGTGTTCTAGAGCTTTTTCAGTTTGTTAACTGATGTAATGTAGGGTAGGCTGGAAAACAACAATTCTGTTTTGTTAAAAAACAATTCTGTTTTGTTAAAAAACAGTTTTGGAATTTGGTTTCATTCCAGTGTCAAATGAAACTGAGACTTTTCAATTGTATTAATAAAAAATGAGACAGAAGTACCTATCCATCCCACCAGTGAAGAGCATTGACAACAGAGAGTGAAAGTATCTCTTATTTCCTAGATTGACAACAGAGAGTGAAAGTATCTCTCATTTCCTAGGTAAGTGTCTTAAGCAACAGGCTATTGTTTGGTGGGGTGAGTGTCTCTCATTCTCTCCTGTTGGAGCTGTTCATTGGATCAGAATGTTAGAAATTAACTCTGGTATGTCTACATGGCACCCTAAACTCAAAATAACATATGCATCTACATAGCACCAAATTTCAAAATAATGTGCTATTTTGAGCCATCCCTTAACTCTCAAGCAATAAGGTTTACCAGAATGGTAAAATAGCGTGCCTGTTATTTCGAAAAGTATTTTGAAATAATGGGCAGCTTGTGTAGACACGGGGTAGCTATTTCAGTACAGGCAGTCCCCGACTTACACGGATCCATTCGGATCCGCACTTACGAACGGGACTTTTCTGGCTCCGGAGCTCACGGGCGGCGGATCGCCACCCGTGTCCTCCGGGGTGAGAAAAGCTTCTCCCTGTCTCCCTGGTCTTCTGTGGGGGGGGGGGGGGGGTCCAGCAAAGCTGCTGGACCCCCCCAGCAGACCAGCGACACGCTCGTAAAGCCGCCCAGCAGCTAGTGCGCCCCCCCCCCCCAGCAGACCAGGCTTTTGTTGCGGGACGCCTCGGGTAGAGCAGCTGGGGTGCTGCCGGGTTGGTCCTGTGGGAACCTACTGGGCAGAGCCCCAGCTGTTCTGTCCCAGGCTCTAGATTCAGCAGCTGTTGAAACTGATCAGGCTGATTCCAGGAAGCTGGGGGCAGAGCAACTCTGCCTCCAGCTTCCTGTAGTCAGCCCCTGGTCAGTTTCAGTGGCAGGAGCTGAATCTGGAGCCAGTTCCGACTTACATACAAATTCAACTTAAGAACAAACCTATAGTCCCTATCTTGTACGTAACCCGGGGACTGCCTGTATATCTCCAGTATCCTGAAAAAGTCATCCAGTGTAGAAATACCCTCAGTGTCTTAGGGATTAGGATACTCATCTAGACTGTGCAAAACCCAAGTTCATGTCCCTGCTTTGGCGCATTCATGTTCTCCCATTTAACATTCTATCAAAACTGATATGTTTCTAAAAAAAGATTCAGTGTAAGCAAATCGGCATTTTTGAACAAACAAAGCATTTTCTTGGAAAATTCCCAATCAGCCCTCATCATTACACCTTTCTGCTTAGGCTAAATGTTAAGGTTCTATTTATAAATAATTTTAAAAGGTTTGATAAATTATTAATAGATGTTATAAGCATGTTGCCAAAGTGAGTAGTATGGGTTACTGATGGTTATAAACCATCAATAGGAACAATAAATGGTTACAAATTGTCGACCCTTTAGATTCCATAACATCTGATTAAGCGTTTATTAGGGAAACTCTTAAGCATTGACTCTTATAAACTATTTATGCATGTACATTTAATGTATAAAATATGATTTCATTTCTTAACTGTCAACAGTCAGACTCTCAAAATGGAAAGATGTGGAGATTTAGGGCTCAATATTGCAAAGTGCTGACCTTCACAATCCCTTCAGGCCATTAGAAAATACTGCCGAAACCCTAGATAGATAAGAAACCCAATCTACACATAGATTTTGTACCTGTATAACTATTTTAAATTCAGGATGTGATTTTTTGTGAAATTTTTATACTGATACAGCTTCCAGTGTGGATACAGTTATACCAATAGAACTTCCTTATAGTAGTGTACTATGATCCCTTTTCATATGTGGATGGGCTATAATGGTAGATGCACTAAGGTGGGGATACTGATTTAACTATCACATACAACTTTTGTGTTTAGACAAGTCATAAATAGATTAAAATCAATGGGATTTGAGGTAATTAGTGCAGTGAAGGACCCAAGCACTTGTAAATTTGTTGGGGTGGAGAGAGGGATTCAGTGCCACTTGCAACTATGAGTTACTCAGCTTTCATTAGAAGGAACACCAGTTCCAAAAGAAGAGTATGTTTTCCATTTTCAATCCACTTTACATTGATTAGAAGATCAGAACTCTCAGTTCTCAAGGCCACATATATGAGATAGTGAGCTAACTACAAATTCCTTGACAAAGGCAATTTCATGTCATTCACACTCAGGTGTTATTGGAAACACGCTTACCAACTTATAAATACAGAATTAATCCAGTTTTATATTTATATTTTGCAACTCAAAACATTCTAGAGTTTGACTATATCTTAAAAAGCTAATTCAAAAACCACTGTAGCAGTATGTTAGAATGTTTTTCAGATTAAAATCTGCTTACCATTTGAGACTGAATTTCCATTTTCAGCCATTACAGAACCAGACAGTGGATTCGACAACTGAGTTCCATGGTTGTTTGCATTTTTATCTTGGGTTCCTGATTCAATTTCTGATGTGGTGGGATCTTCCCTGCTTTTGAAGTTCATATTAGTTTCAACACCTGATATAAATAAATAGCCCGTCAGCTTTTCACTAAACAGTATATTTTTCTTTCTCTCTCACACACACACAGTAATTTGTTATCTATTCATCAAATTGCTTTTTAAAATGAATGTTAAGTAAACACTAAATTTACTAGAAAACCAATTAACTAATAAAAAGTGGTTTCTATTACTGATTCTTCAGGCAAAGACAATCAATTTGCAAAGTAAAGTAGCGAAGAATTATAGTAGCAAAGAATTAACTGGGTTTCATTTTTGCTGTTTCTTTTCATACAAATCTCTCTCTCGATATGTATATAAAAGTTTTTCCTGCCAGGTGACAGAATGATGTCATCATGCTTCTCTCTTGATGTCGTTATGCTTTCATGGTCTCTGGCCACAAAAGCGAGCAGCAAGCAGAGACCCCTTGAACATCTACAAAATCAAAACCAAACTTTCTTCCTTCTATTATGCATGACAGTTTCTTGCTCTGAAAGTTCATGGCAAATATACTGCCTAAATTTTAGATTCCATTCTATTCCACAGAGGTGCTTATATTGCCCTCATTACTGGAGTATCTCAGTATATGTAGTGCATTAAGTGACGTGTCTAATTACTATCACATATGGTTTCTTCTTTCTCTCACTTTCTTCCAGGGAAGAATTTAGGTGACCATTCACACAAAAGAATCACAAATATCCATTTTCTGCCACTACAGTTATTTAAAAATTCTTTCTGATAAGGTAACTAAGAAAAAGGCACAAAAGTCCAGCACCTTAGACACAAAACTGTCACAAACATAGTTTTGAGACTGTCCCTCCAATATCAAATGTCTCTCATCTTGATATAGGTCTCCACTGTCAAGCACCTTCTGTAGTCATAGACAGCTGTGCAAAGAAGATATAAATATTACCAGATTCTAATGGTAGCCTTGCTGTCCTAATGTAGATGATGACAGCTGGTGCAAGGCAGTATAGAATCGGGTGTCTTATATTTATCATTCTGCTTTTCCCACTTCGGTCTGCAGAAACAAACATAAGCATTGCCTTGAAATAGTGTCAAGGCCCTGGACTGGAACTCAAGATAACTGGGTTCAATTGCTGCCCCAGACATTGTATGTTCTTGAGCAAGTCATTTAATCCATCTGTGCTTCAGTTCCCTCTACAAAATGGGAATAAAGAATAATTACAGTTCCATATCTCACTTGTCTGTCTTGTATATTTTGTATAAGTTCTTCAGGGCTATGGGACTATGTCCTAGTATGGGCTTGTGTTGTGACCTTGTACTGATCTTGGATTTGGTTCTATAGCTGCTACCATAATAAAAACCACCACTACCAGACAGCAAAATCAGTATACAAAGGTAAAGTGTAACATCATAAATCTTCTCTCCTTCCTCCTCATCTAGGCAAATGCCAAACTGACACAACCCCTCTGCAGACTAAGCCTCACCCAGATTGATTTCCAAATAGGTCCAAAAGATGGCCTGGCTCAGACAGTTAAACACATTTTAAATCCCTGGGTATGGATCCATGCCTTACCACAGTTACTTTCAATTCTCCTCCAAAGTCAAAATATGTCTATATCACATGTGCACAATGAACCCCTATGCAAAGGGAGGGGAAAACTGATAACTCTCTGTTCATCAGATATACCCTACAATCTGTCCTGGAAAACGATCCCTCGCTTTCAAGATAATGGAGCAGGTAATTAAGGAAATCATATGCAAACACTTGGAAGGTAATAAAGTGATAGGGAATAGCCAGCATGGGTTTGTGAAGAACAAGTCATGCCAAACTAATCTGATAGCTTTCTTTGATAAGATAACGAGCCTTGTGGATAAGGGAGAAGCGGTGGATGTCATATACCTAGACTTTAGTAAGGCATTTGATACGGTCTCGCATGATATTCTTATTGATAAACTAGGCAAATATAACTTAGATAGGGCCACGATAAGGTGGGTGCATAATTGGCTGGATAACCGTAGTCAGAGAGTTGTTGTTAACGGTTCTAAATCCTGCTGGAAAGGGATAACAAGTGGAGTTCCTCAAGGGTCTGTTTTGGGACCCGTACTGTTCAATATCTTCATCAATGATGTAGATATTGGGATAGAGAGTACGCTTATTAAGTTTGCAGATGATACCAAACTGGGTGGGGTTGCAACTTCTTTGGAGGATAGGGACATAATTCAAAATGACCTTAGCAAGTTAGAGAAATGGTCGGAGGTAAACAGGATGAGGTTTAATAAGGAGAAATGCAGAGTGCTCCACTTAGGAAGGAACAATCAGTTCCATACATACAAGATGGGAAGCGACTGTCTAGGAAGGAGCATGGCGGAAAGGGATCTAGGGGTCATAGTGGACCACAAGTTGAATATGAGTCAACAGTGTGATGCTGTTGCCAAAAAAGCAAATATGATTCTAGGTTGTATCAACAGGTGTGTTGTAAGCAAAACTCGTGAAGTCATTCTGCCGCTCTATTCTGCACTAGTTAGGCCTCAGCTGGAGTACTGTGTCCAGTTCTGGGCGCCACATTTCAAGCAAGATGTGGAGAAATTGGAAAGGGTACAGAGAAGAGTGACAAGAATGATTAAAGGTCTAGAGAAGCCTATGAAGCCAGGCTTCATGAACTGGGCTTGTTTAGTTTGGAAAAAAGAAGATTAAGGGGGGACATGATAGTGGTTTTCAAATATCTAAAAGGGTGTCACAAGGAGGAAGGAGAAAATTTGTTCCTCTTGGTTTCTGAGGACAGGACATGGAGTAATGGGCTTAAAGTGCAGCAGGGGAGGTTTAGATTGGACATTAGGAAAACATTCCTAACTGTCAGGGTGGTCAAATATTGGAATAAATTGCCAAGGGAGGTGGTGGAATCTCCCTCTCTGGAGATATTTAAGAACAGGTTAGATAGACATCTGTCAGGGATGGTGTAGACGGAGCTTGGTCCTGCCTTGAGGGCGGGGGGCTGGACTCGATGACCTCTCGAGGTCCCTTCCAGTCCTATTATTTTATGATTCTATGATTCTATGATTCTATAGCCCTTGAAAGGCAGGCCAGTCCTCACTTACAGAAAGCCCCCCCAGACCTGAAGCAAATACCAGCAACTATGCACCACACCACAGAAAAACTAACTCAGGAACCAATCCCTGCAATGAATCCCATTGCCAATTCTGCCCACATATCTACTCAAGCAACATCATCATAGGACCTAACCACATCAGCTCCACCATTATCAGGGGCTCAGTCAGCTGCACATCTACTGATGTGATATATACTATCATGTTCCAGCAAAGCCCCTCTGCCATGTACATTGGCTAAACAGGACAGTATTGAGGCAAAAGAATAAATGGAGACAAATCAGACATCAAGAATGGTAACATACATAAACCAGTAGGAGAGAACTTCAATCTTCCTGGACACACAGAGATTTAAAGGTGTCCATTCTCAACAAAAAATCCTCAACAATAGACTTCAAAGAGAAACTGCAGGGCTGCAATGTATTTGCAAACTTGACACTATCAGTCTGGGTTTGAACAGGGAGTGGAAATGGCTGGCTCACTACAAAAGCAGTTTTCCTTCTCTTGTTTTTCTCACCTGTGGGGCTGGGGCAGCACCGGAGCCAGGCTGGAGCCCTGGCCCAGTGATAGCAGGGCAGCATGGGCCAGGAGGAGAGGAACCTCCCCTGGTCCAGCAAATCCCTTTGTTCAGCAGTGGTCAGATCCCGAGGGACAAGGGACGTCCAACCTGTACTTTGACAAGCAGGGTGAATCCACACTGTGATGTGCACCCACACATGGCAGTGAAAGGTACTGCTTCCTCACGGTAAGAATATATACTACTTCTAAGTAGCAGAGTCCAGTCATCCAACAGACAAATGCTACTACATATCCTGGCTGATTGTTAGCAATGGAAATAAAACACTACAGTGAACAGCTAGGCTACGTCTACACTGGCATCCCTTCCGGAAAAGGGATGCTAATATAGCACATCAGAATAGCAAAATCCGCGGGGGATTTAAATATCCCCCGCAGTATTTGCATTAACATGGCTGCCGCTTTTTTCTGGCTTGGAGATAAGCCGGAGAAAAGCGCCAGTCTAGACGTGATTCTCCGGAAAATAAGACCTATTCCGGAGGATCTCTTATTCCTACTTCAAAGTTTCTTTAGGAGAAAAAGTATAAAAATATATATATATACAGTGTCTACAGCGTCTACAGCTGTCATTATGCTAATCAGCACTTTTGAGTGCTGGCTGTTTGTTCAAACTCACTTTGTTGCTCTTGTCATAATTACGTTGCAGCAGAAATTGGCAGCATCTTAACTTGACAACTAATAAATAAAAGCTTATGTGAAGAATGATACTGACGCTGATATTGGGAGAAGCCAATCAAGGAAAAGTGTGGGGTGAAAGAATGGCAATAGGCAGTTTATCATGCTGGCAGGTTTGTCAGTTTCAAGAGTGGAAGATTTTAAAAGGAAAATTTGCCAGGTTCTGCAATGTATAAGACTATTTTGAACATTATTACACCTTTCTAGGAATATGACTGAGGCAATTTCTACACCGTAGTTCTTCTTTGGAAAAACGTACACAAATTGTGAAGAAGCTTTTCCAACATTTGGCCCATCCACATGGGGTCAAATGTGGGAAAAACTTCCTCTTTCAGAAGAGCCCTTATTCCTCATAAAATGAGGACTACAGTGCTTCCAAAAGAGCGGGCTCACTTTTTTGAAAACTGATCCAAAAAAGCAGACGCGTTCCCTGGATGCAGCAGAGTTTTTCCAGAATACTTCTGGTATCCTGGAAAAACTCTGTAATGTAACCATAGCTTGAGTGTTTAACTTTCATGGTCAAATTCTGCCCTGACTTACACCTGGTAAAATCTCATTTCAAACAGATTGAATGGGTTGTAAATGGGGGCACAGTTTGTCTCTTACTTGTGGCATAGTAGATAGTCACAAACATCATATTCTGTACACATGAAAACCAGTAGAGTACTTTTTAAAATATAACAGATATGCAATAGAT